GGTTGCTTATTCACTTTGGTTTTTCTTGCAGGGGGATGGGGTGAGGCCGGTGGCCGGGTCTGCTGAGTCCGCAGCACTCAGACTACGTGCACCTCTGCAGCAGGTGCAGGCCCAGTTGTCACCCCTCCAGAACATCTCCCCATGGATTCTGATGGCATTGACTCTTCAGACTCTGAGGTAGGGATCATTCTAATTTACTGAAGTGTCGTATAACTGGTTTATTCCACTTATTTGGTATCTGATATGTCCAATAGAAGTCAAGAGAAGCTAATTTTTTTAGTGGGGTTAGAGGTTAACATCAAACACTTTGCACTCACCTGTTAATTTACAATGTGGATTGAAGTACAGATAAATGGGTCTGGTGGGTCTTGGGGTCATCTTATAGCATAACAACTAATTTACATTATGAACCTAATACTAAGAATTTCTTAGTAGACTTTCATATGTATTCTAATAGTTGCACTGTATTTCCTTTTTTGTCTCTTGCAGTCTGATATCCTGTTGGGCATTCTGGACAACTTGGACCCAGTCATGTTCTTCAGATGCCCTTCCCCAGAGTCTACCAGCCTGGAAGAGCTCCCAGAGGTCTTCCCAGGAGAACCTAGTTCCTTACCAGCCTCCCTTTCTCTTTCAATGGGGACGTCATCAGCCAAGCTGGAAGCCATTAATGAACTAATTCGTTTTGACCATGTCTATACTAAGCCTCTAATCTTAGAGATACCCTCTGAGATAGAGAGCCAACCTAATGTGGTAGTGAAAATTGAGGAAGCACCCCTCAACCCCTCAGAGAATGATCACCCTGAATTCATTGTCTCGGTGAAGGAAGAACCTGCAGAAGATGACTTCATTCCAGAGCTGGGTATCTCAAACCTGCTTTCATCCAGCCACTCCCTGAAGCCATCTTCCTGCCTGCTGGATGCTTATAGTGACTGTGGATATGAGGGCTCTCCTTCCCCATTCAGTGATATGTCCTCTCCGCTTAGTATAAATCATTCTTGGGAGGACACTTTTGCCAATGAACTTTTCCCCCAGCTGATTAGTGTCTAAGGAATAATGCAATACTGTTCTTTTTCTTGACTATTACACTGCCCAGAGGCTACCAAAGAAGCCTGCCTGTGCTTCACTCAAAAAACCAAAGTAGAGGGTATACAGTTCTAGAGGGTTCCTCTAAAGTCTTTGCTCAAACGTCACAGATGACTCCAAGTATTGTCTTTTGACATCTGGCAGTCCAAGGTATCCAGATATATTACAGTAACGCAAAACTACAGCTTTTGAGACTGTACTTTTAAGTGTGAAAGATGGTAGTTTACCCCGACAATACTTAAGGCTTATCTGACATTTGCCAGAAAGTAAACATGAAATTTGTGAATAGCCCTTCATCATTTCTCTTTCCTCTTTCTTGGCATCCCAGGCTTGCCTCTGATTTTAGGTCCTTTAGTTTGCTTCCACAAGTAAACCACCTGATGGGGGCACTTTTTCCCTCATCTACAGTTCAAGTGAGGATTAAGAATTTTCCCTAAAGTTATGGAAATTTACTGTGTAAATGCTTTGATAGAATTCGTTTTCTGCTAGTGAATCTTTGGAGAGGTGCTTTCTTCATTTATTTAAAACTACCCACGCAATTAAAAAAGTGCAATGCAGAGTCCTTGTTCTCTTGACTTCTAGGGCTGTAAGTAATTTTTTCTCACTACATGTTTTACCATTTGCTGTGGTGGTAATTTATCCAACTAGTGAACATGCCACTTTTTAAAGTAATTGAAGGCTTTTCCACTTTAATTACTGCCTGTATCAATTCCTGGCTGCTATAATGCTACAATCCACAATTTGAGTAGTTACTATCAGTTCTGAGACAGTTTCTTTACCCTAATTGACCAATATCACAGTAAGTAGCAGACCTAGAGCCCTAGCTACTGTTTTGTTATATCTTTTCTGGTAGCACTGAGGATTGAACCACCAGCTCTACTGCAGAGCTCCACCCCAGCCTTTTTAAAGCTACACTGGCCTTCAACTTGTGATCCTCCTGCCCCAGCCTACTGAGCAGTTGGGATTACAGGCCAATGAGTCTTGCTGTTAAACAAATTAAGAATGTTTCTAGACTCAAACTCCATGCGCTGGGTAATTCTGGGGGGAAAAAAATCACATTTCCTTGGCTGTGAAGAGTAACTATCTCTAAAGGTAGTAAGAATCAAAGAGATGGTGCCTTATAAGCACTTCATATGTGCCAGGCACCATCTTAAAACCTTAAAAGTTAGCTTTTATCTCCTAATCCATTTAAGGCTTTATCTCACAGAATTGTTTCTACACAAGAGCTATTTTTTTTCTAAGAATCTAGGAAAAAAATTCTAAATATTAACACCCAGACTACAGTGACAATAACCTCATACTTCATTTTGTTTTTTTGTTTCTTTGGGAATCTTACAAGATAGTAAGGAACGTCCCTTGTTTCTAGAAATTATTTCACCTATGCCCATTTAGCATTTAAATGATATGTATTTCCAGAGAGGTCAAAGTGGATGAACACATAAGAGGAAAAAGGGATTAGGGAATTCCAAGCCATGAAGAAAAGCTGGCCAATGTCACAAGTATAGGGGAACATGTTGGTTGTAACTAAAGTGTGTCCATAGCATACTTGCAGGCAACTTAGGCTAAGAGCGTCATGCAAAAGCTAGAGCCCAATCTTAGTGCTCAGCTATGCAAGCTTTCTTGGGCTGTTTCTATACTGTAAATACCAGGACCTTTTCTAGTTGTCCTCATGATTGAAAACTACTTTGCCTAGTTCACTGAAAACTTCAGAGCCAAAAATCTATTTAGGGATTATATAAGCAGATGTAGTTAAGAATAGATGCATTTTTTTGTCTCCTGTGATAGCATAAGCATCTGGAAATAGAGGCTTAAGTCATTTACATTCAGTGACATCATATGAAAGAGGCAGCTGTACCAACAGGATAGGACATAATTTAGATCAGCATTTTCATTTCTTGCAGAGATGGGTGAAAAATACCAAACACTGTGTCCAGTCTTGAGAAAACACCTGGTAATCAAGGCCATTTTCATTTTGAAACACCAGACTGAATGGTTAAAAGTAAAAATCAGGATCTTTTCACAACATCAAAGCAATCTCCACAAAATTAAAGGGCTGTCCCATAGTGGAGATTAAAGATGGTGGTGATAAGACGCATGCAGGTCATTTCTCTGGGCCTCATGAATACAATCTGCTTTCTTGCTTTTGTACTAGATGTGGTTGGGCAAAAGAACACAATGGTGGGCAGAAGGTAATACTGCCTACTCTAGAAGCATTTTAAAGTATCATTTAAAATCTAGCTTCCTGGGCGAGGGATTTAGCTCAGTGGTGCGGTCCCCTGCCTCGAAAGCTCAAGGTCCTAAATTTAATCCCCAGTCTGTCCCCGCCCCCCGCCCCCAAAAATTAAGCTTCCTTTTTTTTCTTTTGGTACTGGGGATTGAATTCGGGTCCTTGCACTTGCGCAGCAGGTGGCAAAACCACTGAGCTAAATCCCCAGCCCTCCTAGTTTACTCTTTACCCTTATTACTTTTAAAGTTCATCAAGAGACAGAAGAACGGCTTCCCCACCAAACATGTTGAAAGTCAACATTGATAGATTTCCCTCCAATTTAGGGTAGCTGCTGTATATAATAGCTACCTTCTTCCCAACATGCCCCTACTCCCACCAAAAGAGTAACCTAATACTTGCTCTCCTAACAGCTGGTGACATAACAGGCTCCTCCAGTCCGTAGCCAGTACCTCACTCAACCCCACCCCAGCTCCCACAAGGCCCACCCCAGCTCCTACAAGAAGCACTCCCCATCCTGGCCATATTGCTTTTGTCTCTCCTTTGTTCTGAGACAGCCCAGCAGACTGTCCCTACAATAAAGGTTTGTTATGGCCTGGTCTGGTCTTGGTTTTTGCCTTTTTTACCTGACAAACATCACTTTTTTTTTTTTTTGGCAGTACTAGGGATTGAACCAAAGGCTTTTGCACTGAGCTACATATCTTGTCTTTTTTTTTTTTTTTAATTTTGAGATTGGATCTTGCTAAATTGCCCATATTGGGCCCAAACTTGTGATCCTCTTACCTCAGCCTCCCCAGTGCTGGGATTACAGGGGCATGTCACCACGCCTGGCTAAACTGCATTTTAACTGTCTACTTCATTTCTAAAATTCCCTGAGTGTGGTGGCACATGCCTATAATCCTAGCACTTGGGAGGGAGGTGAGAGCAGGAGAAACTCTTGAGTTCAAGGCCAGCCTGGATGTGAACCTGTTGCAAAAGAACAAAAAGTGCCACTGGATCAAAAAAAAAAAAAAAAAAAGCCCTGCTGGTAGTCTGATGACTAGGAAAGCAACAGAGCTAAAATATTTGAATCAAACTGATAGACACAAAATTCTATTTTCTCAAGGAGCTTAATGTTACACAGCCTGAACCACTCTTTATTACTTCAGTGAAATCTAAACGACATCTCAGGTATTGCTACAAGAAGACTCTAAAATCAACTGTGCAAGTGGGAAGAACACAACCTGCTAAATTGAGTTAAATTATTACTATTTACTTAGGCTTTAGTTTTTAAACCTGTAAACCCAGCAACTTTTAGCCATAGATTTTCAAATTTTCATTAAAAACCAAATACCCTTTGTTTTCTGCACCTAACCCCAAGATAACACCCCCTGCCCTACTACATAGAATCCACATTTATCAAAGAAGGACTGTAAATATTGCAAGCAATACTGCCACCCAGTGAGTGACCTATCAACTCTTCACATAAGAACTATGTAACTGAACATCACAGAATTTTCCTATTCTCCATTTTAAAGGTCCCAAATCATTCTCTGCAAACCTTATAAACCATTTCCAATTCCACATTTGAACATTTTTGAAGATTCAGTTATGACTGCCATCTGAATACTGACAAGAGCAGTAAACTGCTCTCAGTGGAAACCACTCAATGGATTTATCTGTTTCAATTATTTAAGTGCAGGAATACAATACCTTCAAAAGTCCAAAACACTTAAGTTTTATTGAAAATGATAAAATACAGAAACACCAGATTCTCATTTTAAAGTAAAACTGATAGCATCTCCCAGAACTTTTCTAGCACTGCACCCATTCTTGTCACTATTAGAAAAAAGTTCCAAATCCAAAATAATAAATGGACCTGCTGGTAAACATTTTTTTCATGGTTCCAAGCCCTACCCTAATTACTTTTCTAAATTTTATATTTGTAGCTTTTCAAGAATGGGTAGCATTTTAAAAAATGATTAATATTTGTGAGAACTGGACTTACTTTATTCATATTAATTAGAAACAAACCACACATAAGCCTACTCAAACTCAGAGAAAATATACATTTGTTCATTAAAGCTCACCTGCTTTAGATAATTTTTTCTTTACACATATTAAGCCACTGTTTGATCCATGCTGCAAAAACTGTACAAAATGAAACCTTAAGGCAAAAAAACAAACAAAAAAAAGACATTGGGACTCTAGAGATGGCTCAGATAAATAAGCACCACAAGGATGAGGAAAATTTTCTATAAACATATGCCAGAAGACAAAATAGTCCAAAAAGGAGCATTAAACATTTACTTTCCTGCAGAAATAATGATGTCAAATAACCCCTGAAACAAATGGGGGATTTTGGACTGTAATAAACAAGACTCCTAATTCTGTCCTATATTTATCCACCATATCAGTCTTATTTTAGGGCTCTCTTTTCCTTTTTATAGTATAGACCCCTGATCAGAGGCCAACAATTTCTACAGAAAATAGAAGATCCCTTAGTGTGCTATGGGTCTTTCTTTGGAAAGCTGCCATCTCCCTTTCCTCTACGACACTGGGACTAAACCCAAACTCTAGGCAGTCCCGTTATGTTTTTGAGTTGTACCAAAACTTTTTAGCACAAAGACTTCTTTAAGGCTACAAACTTTATATACTGGTCCCATTAAACAATGACCTCAAGGCAGTTTTTCAAATGGCATGAATCAAACACTTGCACATTTCAACAGAATACAGTTTACATTCATCTCTAAGTCTGAGATTAAGAAACTATTAGCTGGTTTCCAACTGGATTCAATACTGGTTTGAAGTTTGAATAATTTTACTGTGTAGACATTAAATATTTTGTTTAAATATTAAACATTAAATCTTTTCCTGACTATCCAGACAGAAATGAAGAAAGCAGAAACAACAGGCTGAAGAACAGTCCAATTAATAGATTTGTGATTCTATATCATCTATAATGAGGGGAGGGATTTCAACATGGGTTTCAACATTGCCTGGAAGCTGGCTTTCCAAATATTCACCTCTACTTGGCATAAACCTTTTTTTTTTTTTCTACAAAAGGTATGACTCCTACAGAGGAAGAAACCCAGTAAAAAAACTGGGGTGGTCTCCTGTTGTATGACGAAAGGGCCACTATTACAATATTATACTCATTTAATAACTTGTACTGGATGTTCTGTAGCAATGAAGGAACTGTCATTCCACCTTGTGCTACGAGTACTGGACACACAGAAGAGCTCTTCCTGAGAAATTAAAAAACTTTAATCCCAGTTATTCCCAAGACACCTTAAGCTTGGATTAAGTATTGAAAAGGCAGAGATTCCTCCTGGCAGGTAGCTATTCTTCACTGATTTTTTTAGGGTTACTGTATAACAGTGTAAGCACTAGACAAACTGGCTATTCCAGTAATCTCAGTATCACTGCCTTTACATTCTCAGTTAATCAGTTTTCCAAATTAACATTTAAAAACAACTTGCTAACGCAGGTACAACCTTTCCTTTTTTAAACAACAGATGTTATAAATGCTGGGTTTTGCTGACACAGCACTTTCTTCGGGTTAAAGGATGCTTTTCCCACAGGCAATTTGCAGATGGCTCACTTCACAATCTTTAAACTAGCACTCAAAGTTAATCAAGCTGTAAACATTACAGCTATCGATTATAGAAAGGAAACCAACAAGCAACAGTAGCACAAGGCAAAAAAGACCTGAAGGAAAATCTTTTCTATTTTTGTTGCATTTTCTGAGACAGAGGAGAGCCACAATGCTACTGGCTATTTTATCAATACAGCTATTTTGAACTGAAAACTGATACCCAAGTTTCATAACCTCAGTTATTAACAATTTCTTAGAAACGGGCTTATGCTACTGCTTCCTTCCCTCCTGCTTCCCAATCATATAGTCACCACTATAAATAGTTGTCTTAAACTGTGACTCACAGGGTACATTGGTAGTTAGGAGCATCCTTCTTTCTTAATCATCTTTTTCATCTCAAGAGTGTTCTCCAAGTGTATGAATGGTTTAAACACTGTGACAGATGTCTTAAATCAGTCTTACACATGCTGCTTCTATACTCGCCTTTGAAAAGACTATAACCTAAAATTCCTGTAGGAAATCTGCTAGAAAACTGCTTTTCCCTTGAGACAAACTTCCATGGCAAAAAGTTAACTTCAACACATGGCTACCCGACATGGAAGTCCCACCCCAAATCACAGGTGGATATATTATGACACCCGTTTCATAAAACTTTCAAGTCCTGACACTATGCATTACTGAACATGAGAGCCTTTTAAATTTTGACAAATTTAGTATAGAAACTGGTTTCTAGAGTTCCATCTCTTCTTCTGTGCTAGCAGCTGTCTCCAAACTATTGTAAAGAGGCACCCCTGTTTGCGGAGGTTCCAAGAACAGTTCAGTTCTCTGTGGGAAGGCAGTGGCAGCAGCTGCATGCTTCGTTTGGCTCTCTCCCATGAAGTTTTTAGCATTAGATGATGGCTTTGGCTTATCAGAAAGGAGTTCAGGGAGAGGTTTCCAGAGCACAAGTTCCATGGATGGACGGCTCCTAAGGTATAAAATACAGATTTTTATCATACAATTTAGGACACAAAAATAAAAACTCTATATAGAAAAGCTAATATTTGTTACCTAATACCTTATTACTAGAAAACGAATGGCACCCAAACATGAGATTTAGAAAAACCCAAATGGATCCTTTTTTATTTTTACAGTACCAGATACTACATTGAACCTAAGACATTTGCAATGAACTGTATCCCTAGGCTTTTTTTTTTTTGGTATGGGGGATCAAACTTGGGACCTTGCGCTTGTGAGGCAGGCGGTAGAAACACTGAGCTAAATCCCCAGCCCTAGCCTTGCATGTGCCGACACACTAGGCTCCTAATTGATCTTTAAAAAGACTACTCAGGGGCCCGGGGATTTAGCTCAGTGGTTCCACCACCTGCCTCACAAGCACAAGGTCCCGAGTTCGATCCCCAGTACCCAAAACCCAAAAAAGACCACTCAGGTACTGGGGATTAAGCTCAGTGGCACCGTGCCTGAGGCAGGAGGAGTGCTGTGAGTTCAAGGCTAGCTTGGACAACATAGTGAGACCCTGTCTCAAAAAACAAAAGGAGAGGGGGTGGGATTTAGCTCAGTGGTTCTGCCGCCTGCCTCACAAGTGCAAGGTCCTGAGTTTGATCTCTGGTACCAAAAAAACCCAAAAAACAATCAGGCCGGGGATTTAGCTTAGTGGCACAGTGGCCTGCCTTGGAAGTGCAAGGTCCTAAGTTAGATCTCCGGTACCACAAAAAAAAAAAAAAAAAGAGAAAGAAAATGTCACCAAGTACATAATATTTTTATCACGGTTCTGTATCCTCCCCCCCTCCCCCCAGTGCTAGGGATTGAATCTAGGACCTACAAATGCTCTAAGTGCTCTGCCACTTGTACTGATGCTCTGATCAGAAGTAACATAAACACCCAATGTGAACCAATAGAGCCCTTGATTTGACTTAATGTTATGATTTTTCAATTTGCATATGTGGGAAACTATGTTTTCCCCCCTTTGTAGTGCTGCAGATTAAACCCAGGGCCTCACACACAGTGGGCAAACACACTATCACTGAGCTATACCCTCAACCCTCCTCAGCTCTGTGGGCAACTATCTTATACTAAATCATTATAAATGAAAATGAAACAACACATAACAATACCTCAAATGCGTTTTGCTTAATATAGTTATGAAGTATAATGCTTTACATACATGTAATCATATATTTTCCCTACTCCATGGTAGTAAAGTTTCTGAAATTTAAAGGCAAGTAGAGTAAAAATAAAAACCAATAAAGACTACTGTCAAAGGCTAGAGTCTGGCTAGAGTAGCAAGTGCTATGTTTAAAAGCTTGAGGTCAATGTGACCTGGTAATTTTGCCTATGCTATTTACCCACCCTTAGGGCTGGGTAGTTAATTATAAACTCAAGCTAGAGCACTAATGCAAACTTCCATGATCCAACGCCAAGAAGCAGCTGAATCTCTGAGCACAAATCACTTCCACCGTGCCTGAAGATAATAACGCCCTATCTCCTTGGCATCATTGAACTGGTGTCCTTGAGAGACTTTTTCAGATATTTGAAACTTACCCTCATTGAGTACCAAGTCTATCCAAAGTCTTCTAGGCAACACCTTAATGGTTCTGAAGCACCTGCCTACTATGCAGGAGGCAATGATAACTTGAGGTCTTCTAGGCTCAGGAACTACAGGATTATAGTTAGTCATTAGTTCTTATATTAATGGCCCCTAGGCCACTTTTTTTTTTTGGTATGGGGATCGAACTCCCGTCCTTGCGCTTGAGAGGCAGGTGGTGCAAGCAGGGGGAATCCACTGAGCTAAATCCCCGGCTCTAGGCCACTTTTTTAGGTTCTTTGTATTTGCTTCCCAGTTCTCTCCCTTATCCTCTCACTATAGTCACTATTCCCCACCAGGAGTTTGTCTTTCTTTTTTTGCTGTTTCTATTTTTTTTTCTTTTGGTACAGGGGATCAAACTCTGGTCCTTGTGCTTTCAAGGTAGGCGCCGGAACCACTGAGCTAAATCCCTGGCCCTCTGTGGTTCTTTTGAGGTTCTAAAATGCAGTCCAGTTTAATATTTGGGAAAAAGAGGACTGGCAAGTGAACTTCTTGGTAGAGTATAGGAACCACATTTTATTTATTTATTTGTTTTTTATATATATGTATTTTTTTAGGAACCACATTTTTAAAATTTTTGAGACAGGGTCTCACTATGTAGCCCACGCTGGCCTCAAGCTCAAAATGATTCTCCTGCCTCAACCTCCCAAGTGCTGGGATTACAGGTGTGCCATCATGCCTGGCAAGAGCCACATTTTGAAACCTCTAGTTTATCTGATTCTCTCCATTATCCACAAACATAAAAAAAAAAAAGAACCACAGAATGAGTAGGCAAGGCTGGCACTCTTGCATATACTAAAAATTCCTGGTCACACAGCATTTTGCTCACCCTCCATGAACTAAGAAAAAGCCTGCCTCCAACCTAGGCTAAATACAAAAAATTCTACTGAGCTTTCACTTGCCTGGTGATAAGGAGATGAAGAGCTGACTAAGACAGGATGGTTGGTGGTTAGAGATACTGGGGTTTCCTTCCAAGATGATAATTAAATGGAAACAAGGTAACAAAACTTACATAGACTCAATCATCTTCTTTGTAAAGACTTCATCAAATTCTTGCTTCAAACCTGTTTTCATGGTATCTGAGAGGACAAGGCTGGGGAGATGGTTAATATTTCTTTCAGCTTCAACTTCTTCATCTTCATCAATTATCCTAAAGGCAGCAGATGCGAAGGAAAAAAATAGATATTTAGTCAAACTATCATTTATTTCTCTAGTAACTAGATAAAACTGTAAAAGTAAAAAAAAGGATAAAAGTAACAGGTGCTTAATAGTAAAAGATCAAATGAAATTATACCTCAGAGGAAAAACAATCATCAAATGAGGCTACTCTTTTCACCTGAGTGAAAAGTATTCACAGAAGAGTTGTTCAGCATTTAACAAACAAGTTTTTCTGCTGGGCATGGTTGCACAAGCCTATAATCCCAGCACTTAGGAGGCTTAGGCAACAGGATTGCTGCAAGTTCAATGACAGCCTGCACTACAAAGCAAGACTCTTGTTTCAAAAAAAAAAAAAAAAAAAGTTTTAAGGCTGAGTGTGGTGGTACATGCCTAAAATCCCACCACTCTGGGAAGCTGCGACAGAGGATTGAAAGTACAAGACTTACCTGGGCAACTTAGTGAGGCCCTGTCTCAAAGTTAAAAAGAGTTTGATGGGCTGGGGATTTAGCTCAGTAGTTCCACCACCTGCCTCAAAAGCAGAAGGTCCTGAGTTTGATCCCCGGTACCAAAAAAAAAAAAGAGTTTGGGATGTAGCTCAGTTCAAAAGGCCTGGATTCAAACCCCAACACCAAAAACAAATCAAACCAAGCCAACCCAAACAATACAGTCAAATTTGAAAAATATGCAACAAAGAACTATCTCATAAACCAAAATAATTATTCGTAGATACTAAGTGAAAATGTTTAGGGCCGGGGATTTAGCGCAGTGGTTTTGCCACCTGCTGCGCAAGCGCAAGGACCCGAGTTCAATCCCCGGTACCAAAAAAAAAAAAAAAAAAAAGTTTAATACAGTTCTATGAGAATTCACTTTAAAGAGGAACAGTAAGTAGCAAGTCAGATACATGTGCTGTCCACTACCTGTCCTCAATCTCCTGTAGCCTCCTTCGGGCAACTTCACACTGTGGTTCTCCAGTTGTCTGATCCATCTCTTCACAAATAGCATCTAACATGCCAGGTACAGAAAGCCCACTAGTGCATGGATTTACTCTTCGACTCTCTACATCCCGATGTGTACAAAGAATCCAGTCATTTGGGCCAGTACAGACCTCTGCTTCAGTCAGCCTTTTCTTTCTTACTGGACAACTGGAAAAAAGGAGAAAAGAATGAAATTCGATAAAAACTTCAATTATTACAAATTAAATATATCTTTATTTCTAGGGTTTTTTTTTTTTGGTACTGGGGATCGAACTCGGGACCTTGTGCTTGCAAGGCAGGGTGCAAAACCACTGAGCTAAATCCCTGGCCCTATCATCTTTATTTCTAATCAAACTCTCTCTCTTTTTTTTTTGGTACCGGGGATTGAACTCAGGTCTTTGTGCTTGCAGGGCAGGCGGCCGAACCACTGAGCTAAATCCCCAGCCCTTCTTTTGTTTTTTGAGACAGGATCTTGCTGTGTAGTCCAGGCTAAACTTGAACTATGTAGCCCAGGTTGGCCTCAAACTAGCAGCAATTCTACTGCCTCAGCCTCCCAAGTGCCCAGCTCACAAGTCACGGAACCTGGCTCTCTATTCAAATTCTTAAATGTCTGGTGCTTCACACTTATAATCCCAGCTCCTCGGTAGGTTGAAGCACAAGGATCACAAGTTTAATGCAAGCCTGGGCCTCCAAAAAAAATTTTTTTTTAAAAAGAGGCTAGGGACATAGTTCGATGGGAGAACATTTGCCCAGAATGTGTGTGGCCCAGGATGCATGTTCAATCCCTAGTGTTCCAAAAACCCAAAACTAGCTTTTTAAAATGTTTATTTGAAAAAGTAAAGTGAAGCAGGAGGGGAAAACCAGCTCTGCATAGTGAGTTTAGGCTGAGTGGAAGAGGAAAACGCAAGATAAAAGTACACCCTGAAGGACCCAGGGAGGGCTATCACGAGGAGAGCCACAATGGCCAACTTTAGCTTTTTTGTTAAATAATGGAATACCATGGTTTTTTTTTTTTCCTGTCATTCTCACAAACTCCCTAAGATGTTTTCTTCTACTACTATTTACTAATTTAGCACCGGCCAGGCATGCCTATAATCCCAGCATTCGGTAGGCTGAGGCAGGAGGATCACTGCAAGTTCCAGGCCAGCCTGAACTACATAGTGGGACTGTCTGAAACAAAACAAAACAAAACAAAACAAAGATCTTACCTTTTAAAAATATACATGTTAAAAAAATAAAACATTTTCAAGATGGAACTTAAACCAAAAATGACAATGCACTGTTAGCACTATTTTGTCACATTGGTGGTGGTTCCTCACATACATGGGAATGTGGTCTGGCAGCCATCCCATATTCCCTTAGGGCAAAAATGTACACCTTGTCAGTTATGTTCCACATACCATAAGCACAGATGATATCATGATTTCTTGGTCCCCCCCCACCCCAACTAGAATGTCAGATGCTCTCATTTGGCTCTCAGTCCCTGACTGATAATCTTCTCTCATTCTGTAACATACTATATTTCCTGGACAAATATATAGAATCCTTAGAATTAACTAAATAAAATCAGCCAAATTCAACTTCTTTCTTTCTTGTACTCCAGGTTGGCCTCCTAAGCCTTCTGAGTGCTGGGATAACAGGCACATACCATGACACCTGGCTTCCAACTTTTTGGTGGTGCCAGAGACTAAACCCAGGACCTTATGGATGCTAGGCAAGTGCTCTACCACCAACCCATACATCAGGTCCTTTCAACTTTTTTTTTTTTTGAAGCAAAACCTTTATTGGCACATTTTAGATATACATAGTAACTTCATCACAGGGAATTTGTACCTGTATATATCTTGCTTCTTTTTTTCCCACTCTCCCTCTTCAACCCTCTTCTCCTTATTTACAAAACTTTGTTCCTATTTTTTCCTTCTATTATTTTTTGTCCCCCCCCCATTCCACTTCTCATTTGAACATTTTCCTCCCACTTCACAATATCTATTATTCATTTTGGTTCTTATTCCACTTTTGGTTTCTCACACCAGAGAAACAATCCAGTATTTAAACATGTATCTCATTTATTTCACTTAAGAGTAAAGTCTCAATCCATTTAGCTAGAAATGTCTCAAGCTTATTCTTCTTTATGGCAGAGTGGTACTCCATTTTATTAAAAAAAAAAAACCCTACATCTTCTTTATCCATTCATCAATTGATGGGCATTTGAGCTGTTCCCAAGATTTAGCTATTACAAAGCTATTTACCTAGCACAGACCCGCTATAAACATGGATGTGCATATATATCGCTGTGGTATGCTTTTAATTCTTTTAGGAAGATAACAAGAAGAGGAATAGGTGGGTTGAACAGAACTTCCAGTTTTAGTTTTTTGAGGAATCTCCACATTGATTGCACCAGTCTACACTCCCACCAGCAGTGGAGAAGGGTTCCTTTTTCCTCACAGCCCCTCCAGCATCTGTTATTGATTTCTTGGTAACAGCCTTTCTTTCCAGAGTGAGATGGAATCTCAGCATTGTTTTAATTTTGCATCTCTCAAATGACCAGTGATGCCTTTAACCATTTTCTTTTGTAGATTTGAAAACCAGGACCTTGAAAAGTTAAAACTTGGACTCTCTAATGTGACACAGTAAAGTACTGAGTTGCACGTTGGAGACCAGACCCCAGAGCTCTTAAACTTCACTTATATCTATGCCATTTTCACTAAATCCCTCTACCTTTTGTTTGTTTTGAGACACGGTCTCAATATGTAGCTCAGGCTGGCCTCAAACTCACAGCAATCCTCCTGCCTCAGCCTCCGAAATACTGAGATTACAGGAATGCCCACCACACCTGGCTCCTCTGCCTTTTTTAAACAAGTTCAGCTGTTCAGGGCTTACCCATGAACTAGTATTTGCAAGTACTACAACATGCCCAGTGTTTAGGTGAAAGCTGCCTGAGGCAAGTAAAATAGACAACTGGCCTTATTCTTTTTTTTTTGGTTGTGATAGGGTCTTGCTATTAGTTCAAGCTGGCCTTAAACTCACTAGAGCCCAGGCTGGCCTTGAACTTTCAGCTATTCTTCTCACTCTGCATTCTGTGTGCTAGGATTACAGGTGTGTGCCACCATGACCAGTTCTATTTTTTTTAAGTATTTATCAAAAGTATATTTTTTGCCTAGGCATTAGCAAGTACAGCTCTGTGACAAAAAAACAAAGAAAAAACATTAATAGCTACAACAGCTTCTGAGTTGCTAAACCAAGGGTCAAAGGAAACAGGATGTATTTTACAAGGGAAAACTTCTATTCCATGTTGACTGCGGAAATTAATATTAAAGTCTTGATCATACAATTTAAAAATCAGAATGAACTACTAAATGTTTAGAAAGTATTAATAATGTCTATTTATGCTGGTTTTGGTGGTGCACACCTGTAATCCCAGCACTTGGGAGGCTGAGGCAGGAGGATCATTGTGACTTCAATGCCAGCCTGGGCTACACAGTGAATTCAAGGCCAGTCTGAGCTACAAAGTGAGACCCTGTCTCTAATAACCAAAAAAGAATTTCTATGTAAAGTACATGATCTTCTGGAAAGCAGGAAGTTGTACATGACAAGATAAAAAATATGGTGAATGTTTAATTTAAAAAAAAAGTATTATTATTTTTTGGTACCAGGGATCGAACTCAGGACTTTGCACTTGCAAGGCAGGCACAATGCCACTGAGCTAAATCCCCGGGCCTAAAAAATTTATTATTGGAAAAGACATGATGTCATCAATCCCCATCAAAACACTTACCCTCACTTTGAACATACTTATCCCACCATTCTTGTCACTTTTTGAAGTTCTGAAAGTTCTCTTTTTTTTTTTTGGTACCGCGGATCGAACTTGGGACCTCGCACTTGTGAGGCAGGCGCCAGAACCACTGAGCTAAATCTCCGGCCTGAAAGTTCTCTTTCATGTCTTTAGTTGCCCTGTTGTGGCTCCCTCAATATAGTATCTATTTTCAAAATGCTTACCTTTCATGGTCATTTTGACTTTGGGGAGAGCTAGAAGCAGCACAGTGGCAGATCTGGAGAATAAAATGAATGAGGAACACATCATGGTTTTATGAGCCTGCCTTTTTGATGGATGGCACACAACAGTATTTACTGTATTTTTTTCTCATAGTGTTTTTGTTTTGGCACCAGGGATCAAACTCAGGACCTCGCACTTGCCAGGCAGGCATGGTACCAGAGCTAAACCTCCAGCCTCTACTGTATTTTTTAATACCTTCTAGACACAAAGGAGGACTTCCAGAACTGCTTCACAAAGTGGCAAGGATGATGGGATAGGTGTGTTCAAAGTGAGAGGGAGTTTTTTTTTTTTAGGCAGGGTCTATGTATTTCAGGGGGGGCTCAAACTTGTGGCAATCCTCCTGCCTCAGCCTCCTAATGCTGGGATTACAGGCATGTGCCACCACACTGGGCAGGAAAGTGAATATTCTGAAGGGGATTAATGGGAATGTGTTTTTTATTGTAATAAATTTTTTAATTTAAACATTCACTATATATTTCGATCATCTCTTGTACATATAAAAAATCAGCTAAGAAAAAGTAGAATAAACCAGGCATGGTGCCACACCTCTAATCCCAGCATTCTGGGAAACTGAGGCAGGAGGACCACAAGTTCAAGCCCAGCCTGGGCAACTTAGTGAGACCCTATCTCAAAATAAAAAATGTACTTCAGTGCAAAGGCCCTGGGTTCACGCCCCAGTACCACCAAAAAAATAATAAATCTAGAGAGATAACAGGCAACCTCCAAGCATATCTCACAATTCAGCAATGAAATTGAAATTGAGTTTAAGAGAGCTGGGCTCTGCTCTCTGACCTCCAATAACAAAACATGATTCAGGGGATGGCTAAATTATTGCATGCCTAAGTTCACCTTGCAGGTAAGAAGTATTCACAAAGGTAGCAGTTGAGTGGTACACATCCAGTCATTAAACAACTGAATGCCTGGCTTTACCTCTTCTCAGAGCCTGTTTCTCCATTCATAAATCATAAGCGGGTAACACAGACAGAGCCCTGGGCCTCAAACATGCTAATGTTGTACCACTGAGCTACATCTCTAGCCCTTTATAAATTTTATTTTGAAGCTGCCGTGGTGGCACATGCCTGTAATCCCAATACTTGGGAGGCTTAGGCAGAAGGATGGCAAGTTTGAGCATAGTCTGGGTAACTTAGTGAGACCCCGTCTCAAAATAATTAGTGAGACACTGTCTCAAAAAAAAAAAAAAACAAAAAAGAGCTGGGGATGTCCAGTGTGAAGGCCCAGAGTTTAATCCCCAGTAACTAAAAAAAAAAAAAAAAAAGAATAGCTTAAAGAGAAAGATGTTCAATATCAAATTATAATAAACAGTGAAAATTAAAAGTGATCCAATTTTTCATCTTGTTAACTATAAAATCCTATATACATAAAAGTACATACAATTTAACGAGTAATTAGAAAACAAATATAAGATACAGAACACTCAGGAAGCTGATCACTGCAGACTTGAGGCCAATTTGGGCTACACAGTGAGTTCAAGGCCAGCCTGAAATATATAACAAGACACCGTCTCAAAAAAAAAAAAATCATGTATATAGGTATGAGCAGTCCTCAACAATGTTTAGTTTTACCTGTTTTTGAACTTTTTATTTAAGGAGTTATACTATATACTCGAGATATTTCTTTTGGTCATATTATGCTCACAAGATGTGTGATGTTGGTAAGTACAGTTTTGGGTTTTCCTGTATTTGGTTTTTCCACTGTTTTAATTTATAATTTATTTTGTCCATTTCATGGAGTCATCTGTGTTATTTCCAGCTCCATAGCAACAAGAATGCTATGAAAAGGGCCGGAGATTTAGCTCAGTGGTTTCACCCCCTGCTGTGCAAGCGCAAGGACCTAAGTTTGATTCCCGATACCAGAAAAAAAAAAAAGAAAACTTTGTATTAGGGTCAGGGATTTAGCTCAGTGGTTCCGGCATCTACCTTGCAAGCGCAAGGTCTCGAGTTCAATCCCCGGTACCAAAAAAAAAAAAAAAGAATGCTATGAACTTTCTTGTTACATGTTTCCTGATGTGTATGTATGTAAACTTCTCTAAGGTACATTCAGGAGAAATGTTACGTAAAAGCGTATGCACATGTGCAACATAGATAATGCCAAACTGTTTTCCAGTGTTTGTATCAATTTATACACTCGTGGTGTTTCAGAGTCTGCGGTGCTGTACATCTGCTCCAATATCTAGTAATAGAGTGGTTTGTAACCTTAAAACACATTTCCCTAAAAAAACTGATAAAGTTGAACACTTTTTAATTTGGCTATCATCTCGGCCGAACTCTGCTACTCCTTTTTCTGCCTGTCCGTAAGATACAAATTTTCACCTACCAGTTAACTAGCAATCAAAAAATTCAAGGGCCGGGAATTTAGCTCAGTGGTTCCGCTGCCTGCCTTGCAAGCGCAAGGTCCTGACTTCGATCCCCGGTACCAAAAAAAAAAAAAAAAAGGTTCAAAAACACAGCTCTGATAGAAAATAGAGAAACAAATTCCCAGAGTCAATAAGGAGTATAAATTGGCAACAACTCGTTTAAAATGCACATGCTTTAAAACCCGATTAATTCCTCATCAAGGAATCCACTCATCTACTTGCAAATATACAAAGAACTTCAAAGTAATAGTCATGAGTCTTGTACATAAGAGCAAAAGATTAAAAGTAACTTTAGAAATCCATTAATAGGAGACTGACTGTACTTAGCCCTGCAACAGAATTTCATTTGACTATTGACAAAGAAATCAGGTAGAATACTATGCATTGATATAGAACAAGCTACAGGAGAATAAAATGAAAGATATACGTGTTGCACAGTAAACAGTATCTCTCAACACTTGTAAAAACCAGAGGCACATACAATTATAAACTCGTAAGTTTTTACATTATCTTCCACAGAAGGAAAAAGAGAAAGGTAACACAGTTGCCTCTGGGGAAGAGCAATGAGAGGTAGCTCATAAGACTTTTCAATATGTATCCTTTGGTTCTTTTACATTGTGTCTATGATAACATTAACATAGTATCATATATTAGAATTGATCAAGAAGTTCCCCTCACACTAGTCTTCAAAAAAAATTTTTTTTTAAGCTGGGTGTGGTTGCCCACACCTGTTATCCCAGCACTTGGGAGGCTGAGGCAGGAGGATCACCTTGAGTTCAAGGCTGGCCTGGGCTATATAGTGAGTTTGGAGCCAGCCCGAACTATATAGCAAGACCCTGTCTAAAAAATAAATAAATAAATAAATAAATAATGTAATACAAGCAGATATTTCAAAAGAAGAAATATATAAAACTTATCATGGGGCCGGGGATTTTGCTTAGGGGTTCCGGTGCCTGCCACATAAGCACAAGGTCAATCGAGTTCAATCCCCGGTACCAAAAAAACCCCACAAAACTTCTTACATCTATAAAAAACCCCAAATTTCATAACAAAATAAGATTAAAACAATGGTTAATATACTGTGTATCATGCCCTTATAAAAATGGCCAAGGGCTGGGGATTTAGCTCAGTGGTTTCGCCACCTGCTGCGCAAGCACAAGGACCGGAGTTCAATCCCTGGTACCAAAAAAACCCCCCAAAACCAGAATGGTCAAAATGTTACTCAGCACAAATCATAAAAAAAAAAAAAGATTTTCTTACAAAGAAGAAACAAAGGGGCTGGGGATTTAGCTCAGTGGTTCCACCGCCTGCCTTGCAAGTGCAAGGATCAGAGTTCGATCCTCAGTACCAAAAAAAAAAAAACCAGAAGAAACAAAGAACAAAACTTTCCTAACAATGAACAAAGGAAACTAGTAGTACAAATGACAAATTAACACTTATCTTAAAATATTTTATTTATCTTAAAATATTTTTGAAACAGAATAATTTGCGGAGTTATTTGAATTTCTCCCTACTTCCTAGTTATCTATCTTCTAGTTTCCTTTGTCCACATATATATTTTTATATATTTTTAGTTTCTCATGTAAGAGAAACCGTGTGATATTTAAGCCTAGGTCTGACTTATTTCACTTAACATTATGTTCTCAGGTTTCATCCATTTACCTATGAATGCCTCACATTTGTCTTTATGGCACAGTAGTACTCCACTGTGTACAAATACATTTTCAGCCTTGAAACTCAAGGACAGCCTTGAGTTTGAGGTCAGCTTGTACTACAAAGTGAGTTCAAGGCCAGCCTGAACTACACAGGCTAGACCCTATCTCAAAAACCAAAAAACTACATTTTCTTTATCCATTCATCAGCCATCTTCTTTACCTTCATAAAACGCAACCAATGTTTTTTATGCCTCCTTCCTGAAACACACCTGTTTTATAACTTTTCATTTAAATACTTTAAGATACTGTGTACATATTAAATTAACAGTGTAGCCAAACATGGACCTAAATTCCAGTACCCAGGAGGCTGAGACAGAAGAGGGATCCTGATTTTCAGGGTAGCCTGAGCTATAAAGGATATTTGTTTTGTTTTTTTAAAAAGGAGACCAAGAACAACCAGTGAATATGAAGTGAATAAATGTGCCAGGTGACTTACTCATCATCATCCTCTTCTCGCTTGTGCTTTTTAGAGTGAACGGAAACACTGTTGAAATAAACAGACATCAGTCAATTAAGAAATGTATTTCAGTTTGAGCTTTCAGCATCTTTTCTTGCAAACCTGGCTCACCCACCCCACACCGAATTTTTCTTTCCAGGCCGAGTGGGATGGATACAGGTCACAAGGTCAGTCAAGTAATGTTGAGTAGTCCCGACATCACCAAAACTACAAACACTGCAGTCAAATCTTGTCACTTTGTCAATATAATGGGAAGTAAACAAGGGAAAACCACTGTGGGATAAATGCATTCGGTGCACGCACTGTGCGAAGCCCTCTTTCCGTGATCTCACTGCGAGGACCCATTACTGTCCCCACACTGCCGAGGAGGAAACCGAGTGTCCGAGAGGCGCTCAAAGTTGTTACTAGCAGCGGCCGCGCCGCGGTCTGGAAGGTGAGCGCGCGTGTGCTAGCCCGGCATCGCTCCGGCTCCAGTCGCCCGCGTTCCAATTGGAAAAGCCTTACTTCCCCGGGGCGCAGCCGGGCTGAGGGGAGGTGGACCCGGACTCTGGGCTGTACGACCTCGGCAGATTTACAGTTAACGTCTCTGGGAAACAAGGTCCTCATCAGCAAGCCAGGCTGCGAAGCCTCCCGCGGAGGATGGCGAGGAGGATCAACGCGCCCGCCCGCCCCCGCCGCCGGGCTCCTCACCGTCCGAGCGCCGTACTCCCGCCCGGGCTGCTCGGGGCGGCGCGGGGTCCCGGCCGCGGGGCAAGCTCCGGGCCGTGGGCTCCCGGAGGAAAGGCCCGGCCCGGGAAGGCCGGAGGTGGCTGTAGAAAGTCCGAGCTGCCGCTCAAGGGGAGGCCGCTAAAAGGCCGGCCGAGTGCGGCCATGGCGGGAGAGAGGAGCAGGGTACGACCGCAATCCCGACCGTCCGCGCCCCCAGGCCTGGCAGCTACCGCCACACCTACTGCCAAGAGGCGCCCGCCTCCGAGCCCGTTCCGACCCCACGTCACGCCTTCTAGAACCCTCCACCCCGGGCCGCCCAGGGGCACGCCGGGATTTGTTGTGTGGAGAGCCGTCGCCGAGAGGGGTACTGGGAGTTGCGGTTCTTGCAGACTACAAACAGCATGGCTGCCCCGTGACCGAACTTGCAGGAGAGTAGCCTAGGGGGGCCCTCGAGATGGCCCAAGGTTGGAGTCCCAGTCCTCAAATTCCGGAACCTCGGCACTGCAGTTTCCGTAGTAAAACGGGATAATAACTACCTATCTTCATAGGTTTGATGTGAAGAGTAAATGAATTGGAACTTGCCGGACGTGGTGGTGCACGCCTGTAATCCAGCAATTTGGGAAGCTGAAGCAGGAAGATTGCAAGTTCCAACGCAGCTTGGGCAATTTATCGAGACCCTGTCTCAAAGTAAAAAATTGAAAAGGGAGAGGGGCTCTGGGTGTAACATCGTGCGAAGGCCTTGGGGTCAATCCCCAGTTGGGGGAGGGGGATTTTTAAAAAATCTAGAGCTAGTGGACCTCAGTGATTGGTTGCAGGCTCAGCATGCACCAGGGCTCTGGTTTCTATCCCTAATCACCACAAAAATATAAATAAATAAAATATCTAGAGCCTTAAAATACTGGATAGAGCAAATACACACTCAGTGCATATCAGCTGTCAATTCCTTTTGTGTTTTAATGAAGTTAGTGATGCCTTAAGGGAACAGTATAGAGGATCAGTACAGTAAAGACCTGAGTGCTTGTGAGAGAGGTACTTGCAGAAAAGCCTTCCAGGCTGTGTAGCACTGTGTGAAAGCCTCAGGGTCAATGCCCAGTACAAAACAAAACAAAACAACAAAGAAGAGGAGGAGGAGGGAGGTGGGAGGAGAAAAAGATCCATTGCTGTCAAAGACTTGGTGAATAGTGAAACACCTAGGTTCAGATCTTGCTGCTGACATTCCAAAGAGCATGTGGACACTTCTCAGATGAAAAGGTAAAAACAGCAAATAAATATAGAAAAACGTTCAACATCACTGGTCATTCAAGAGATGCAAATTAAAACAATGCTGAGATTCCATCTCACTCCAGAAAGAAGGGCTGTTATCAAGAAATCAACCAATAACAAATGCTGGAGGGGCTGTGGGGAAAAAAGAACCCTTCTCCACCGCTGCTGGGAGTGCAGACTGGTGTAATCAGTGTGGAAATCAGTGTGGAGATTCTTCAAAAAACTAAATCTGGAGGTTCCATTTGACCCAGCTATTCCTCTTCTTGGTATCTTCCTGGAAGAATTAAAAGCATCATACCACAGTGATATATGCACACTCATATTTATAGCAGCACAGCTTATAGTAGCTAAATCTTGGAAACAGCCCAAATGCCCATTTCCTGATGAATGGATAAAGATGTGTTTTTGGGGTTTTTTTTATACAATGAAGTACTACTCTTCCATAAAGGTTAAGCTTGAGACATTTCTAGCCAAATGGATGCACCTTGAGACCTTACTCTTAAGTGAAATAAATAAGACACATAGACACAAGTTTAAATACTGTATTGTGGGCCAGGGATTTAGCTCAGTGGTTCTGGTGCCTGCCTCGAAAGCGCAAGGTCCTGAATTCAATCCCCGGTACCAAAAATAAATAAATATCGCATTGTTACTCTGCTGTGAAAAACCAAAAGTGGAAATAAGGACTAAAATGAATAATAGGTATTGGGAAATGGGAAGAAAATGTTCACATGAGAAGGGGAACAAGGAAAAGGGGAGGGGGAAAGAAAAGAATGGACAAGAAAAAAGAAGAGAAAATAGAAGGAAAAACTGGAAACTGGAAACAAAGCTTTTATAAATAAGGGGTGGGAATGGGGGAAAACAGAAGCAAGATATGTCATGTACTGGTGCAAATTCTCTATGATGAATGTTATCATTATGTATATCTGAAATGTACCAAGGGCCGGATTTAGCTCAGTGGTTCTGCCGCCTGCCCCGCAAGCACAAGGACCCGAGTTTGATCCCCAGTACCACACACACAAAAAAGATAAATATGTTAAAAATCAATATGTTAAAAAAAAAAGTCTACGGCCATACCACCCTGAACGTGCCCAATCTCGTCTAAAATGTATCAATAAATGTTTTGCTAAAAAAAACAAAAACAAAAGCAGCATTTGTTCTCAGAACATACATATTCTGGCTTCAGGGATGAAAAAAGTGTGTAAGGATAAAAGGGATGTACACTGGAAATATATAATATATATATGTTATATATTATAAAGGTGTTTCCAAACTAAGTCTTTGCCCAATTACTTAAATCTCTGCAGAACTTTG